GGAGTATTCTGATAAATTTTATATATTATCGTTGTTACATGCCATTGAATTGTGCCACTCATAGCAAACTTGTGTACAATAGCTCTGAACCCTGCCTTATCCTGAGCCAATCTCAATGACTCCAACACACTTAATCCCATTGCCCCAGTTACCATGTCAATCCATTGCATCTGGTGTCTTTCTCTCTTACGTTATCCTTCCATCCTTCCAAGCATAATGTCCTTCTGCAAGGACTTGTCCCTCTTAGCCACATACCCAAAAGTATGTGAGATGGAGCTTCAAAATCCTTGCCTCCAAGAGAAACTTGTTTTCACCCTCTCTAAGACAGACTTTGTTGTTTTCCTGGTGGCCCGTATGTTCAATACTCTTCTCTAGCAGCACACCTCAAAGTCATCTCTTTTTCTTCTGTCAACCTTAGTCATTGTCCAGCTCTCAGATGCACAGCAAGTAATTGCAAAGACCATGTTCTGGATGAGCCACAACTTAGTGTCTAGATTGACATCATTGCTCTTTAGCACTTTGAGGATGTAACTGACAGCAGATTTCTCCAATGCAATCTGTCTTTTTATTTCCTGTTTGCTGGTTCCAAGAATGTTGGTTGTGGAGCCAAGAAGACTGATATTGTTAACAACCTCAATCTTTTCTTCATCCATCATGGTGCTGCCAGTTGGCCCAGTGGTGAGAGTCTTTGTCTTTTTTTTTCCCTTTTTTTGGTTTTTTGTTTTATTTAAATTTATTATTAATTTCAGTAAAAATGTACAGAGACTTTGGATTTCTATTCATTCATTGTTACACTTTTCTCCCCTCCCATCCATTCCCCCCTTGTACACTACCCTCTTGGAAAAGTAAAAGAAAAATTCTTTCATTGTTTTACAAACCCTCCCCTAGGTCCACTCCACCATGTAGCCTTTGCTCTAGACTCCTGTCATGACTAAAATAACTAATCACATATCCCTTTTAAACCGTTTTCTCCCTCATCTGTTTCATTGCAGTATACATTATTGAACCAATCTTTCTCAGTCTCTCCCCAACCCCGATGTCAGTCCTGTTTTACAACAGTGGCACCATATAGTATTTGTCCTTTTGTGACTGAGATACTTCACTCAGCATAATGTCTTCCAGAGTCACCCATTTTGAATAATATTGCTTGAATTCCTTATTTTTCAACGCAGCATAGTATTCCACTCTGTGAATATTCCAAACCTTCTCTAACCATTCATTTGTTGATGGGCACTTAGGTTGTTTCCAACTCCTTGCTATTGTGAACAAAGCAGCAATAAACATGGGTGTGTATATATCTGCTTGGATGTCAGTTATGGTATTTTTGGGATATATTCCCAGTAGTGGAATTGCTGGGTCAAATGGTATCTCTATTTGCAACTTTTTGAGAAAGTGCCATACAGCCTTCCACAGTGCTTGCACCATTTTACACTACCACCAACAGTAAATAAGGGTTCCAGTTTCTCCACAACCTCGCCAGCATTTGTTGGTTGCGAATCTTTGTCTTCTTGATGTTGAGTTTCAATCTATTTTGAAGAGTACATTCTTTGGTCTTCAGCAGCAAATGCTTCAAGTCTTCCTCAGTTTTGCCAAGCAAGGTTGTATCATCTGCGTAACACAGGTTGTTGATGAGTCTTCCTCCAATCCTTATTCCACACTCCTCCTCCTAAAGTCCAGTATCCTTCATGATCTGTTCCACATATACATTGAAAAGGTATGGAGACAGTGTGCATCCCTGATGCATTCCTTTCCTAATTTTGAATCATGAACTGTTTCCTTGCTCTGTTCTGATGACTACCACCGGTCCAAGCATAAGTTTCTCAAGAGCACAATCAAGTGTTCTGGGATTCCCATTCTTCTCAACATTACCCACAATTTTTGTGATCTATACAATCACATAGGGTGGCTATGAGTCGCAAGCGACTCGATGGCACATAACAACAACAACAACATACAATCAACTGCTTTTTTAAGGTCAATTAAACACAGATAGACATTCCTTTGGTACGATTTACTTTAAGCCAAAATCCATTTAACATTGGCGATAATGACTCTAGTGCCTCGGCCTCTTCTAAACCCAGCTTGTATTTCTGTTAGTTTTCTGTTAATGAACTGTTTAAGTAATTTTGGGGTAATCTTCAGCAGAATTTTGCTTGCATGCATTATTAGCAATGTTGTTGTTATGTGTTGTCGAGTTGCTTGCGACTCATAATGACCCTATATACAACAGCTCTGAAACCTGCTCTATCCTGTGACAACTTTACTGTCTCTGACTCACCTATCCTCATTACCCCAGTCAGTGTATCAATCCATCTCATCGAAGGTCTCCCTCTCTTTGTCCATCTCTTCACCCTTCCAAGCATGATATTGCTTGATAATTTCCACACTCTGTCAGATCACCATTCTGGGGGATAGGCAGAAATATGGATCTCTTACAGTCAATTGGCTAGATAGTTGTCCTCCAGATTTCTTGGCACAAGAAAATCTAGTGAGCACATCCAGGGCAGCATCTGTTTGTTGATATATGTCAACTAGTATGTGCTCAATTCCTGTGACCTTGGTTTGGGTTTGGTTTTTTGGGGTTTTGTGTTTGTTGTTTTTGGTTTTTTTCCAATTCCTTCAGAGTAGCTTGAACTTCCTCCTTCATCACCATTTCCTCTTGATCATATGTTGTTTCATGAACTCCTTCTGTGTCAGCCAATTCTTTTTGGTACAATGATTCTATGTACTCCTTCCATCTTCTTCCTGCTTCCTGGATCACTGAATATTCTGCCCATAGCATCTTTAAGTATTAAAACTCAAGGTTTTAATTTCTTCTTCAATTCCTTCCATTTAAATGGGGTGAAGGAAATGGGAAGGCTCTTTTGTGAAAAACAATGTATTCAAACTTTCTAAATAAATCAGAGTACTATAACACAAATAAAAATAAAAATAAATGCTCAGCAAGGTTGGCCCTGTTGATTGAGTCCCTTATCAGATATATCATTTTCAAATATGTTATTCCCAGTTGGTAGCTTCTCTTTTTATGGATTTGATTCTTAGAAGGTTCCATTCATCTATTTTATTCTTCCCTAGGTGTAGGTTTTTCTTTATGCTTGAAGACTATTCATATTGTGTACTAGGGTTCTAGAGGTCTTTCATACAT